AAATAGATGAATATGAGCAAATAAAATGTTGAACAGACCGAAATGAACCCACACTGATGCTCAATACTGATGCTAAAGTCACACACACACACACACACACACACACACACACACACACACACACACACACACACACACACACACACACACACACACACACTTTCTATGCTGACAGAGGAATATTCTCCTTCACAGATCACTGTCGCCCCCTGTCGGACAATCATCTGTATTATTTTTACTATTTTGAACTGATAACATGCACAAACTCTCTTTATTACAAACAGCACCGGTAAATAAATACCAGCCTATGTAAATGTGAATAAAATGTCATTTGAGGATTTTTTAAAGGACTTGAGGAAGAATTTCAAAATAAAACAAACAAAAAAATGACTTAAATAATATATACTGAAATAAACAATTGAAATAAAGACATTAAAATGAATAGAAACTTTCTTTAAATAACACAAACTCTAAAAGAAAAAAAATATTCTAAAGAAAATACATGAAATAAAACGAGAATAAATATTAAATACATTTTAATGAATAAAATACGCTCAGTGGCAGTGGTGTGAAGAAAAATCACACAAAAGTAAAAGTAGCATTACATGCCTAAAATGTAGTGCGGGTGGAGTACAAGTCTCTGTTGTAAATATATTACTCAAAGCATGAGTATAAGTAGACCTTATCAAAGTCCTCATTACGCTGTATAAAGCTGATGCGTTTACATGTCATTTGTGGATGTGTGTGTAAACGTAACATTCTGTAGTAGGCATGGGATGGACAACCAGTCTCAAAGTTTACCACGGTTTGAAAAAAATCAAGGTTTAAAACAGCTAAAATGTTCTGTTATACCATTCCCAAGGAGTATGTAAGGTTTTTAATGCATTTTTTATGTGCTGTAAAGAAATCTGTGATTTTGAAACTAATGAAGGCAGCAGAGGTCAATAGTGTACTTTAACTGACCTGTCCACCAAGTCACCTTTACATGCACACACACACACACACACACACACACACACACACACACACACACACACATATACACACAAACATGCCAGTACCTGACTGTGTTGTTGTTGTTTTTGTTGATGCTTTATTTTCGTTGTATTTGTATGATCCCAATGTGTGTACCTTTTGCATATTCCAATTAAAAAAAAAAAAAAAATATATATATATATAAATAATAGAAATAATGTATTTTATTTATTTAGCCTGAAATGTTGACTCCTCCAAAATATGTGAAGTGTTTTCCTAAAATAAATCAGATGGGGAAAACGTTTTTTGTTTGTTTGTTTTACCCAGACCTTTAAAAAGAACTTATTTTAGAGCAGTGATCACAATATTGTGATATTTTACCCAAGGTTATCATACCTGCAGAAACTGCACATGCCTATTCTGCAGTGCATTTAGTCATTGCCCAGCAGGCACACAATGTCATAAGCTTAGATTAAGGTCATGATGTCAGGTGACCAAAATTCAATGTCTAGCCAGCGCCTAAGGACAACGATATTTTAATGTCCAATAATGACGCCAAATGACGTTGACATTTGGTTGATTTTAGGTTGTGTTGGAAAGTCTAGCCAACATCTTAAACCAGCGTCATACTGACGTCAGATACTGACATTTATTCATCAGGTACAGCAACCAAAATCCAACGTCTGATCATAGTGGTAATTTTCACACAACATTAAGCTGTAACGTCATTAGACGTTGATATTTGGTTGATTTTAGGTTGGACACTGACGGTTCTGACATCAACCTGATTTTCATTTTCGAAACAAAATGCAACGTCCCCACAACATTGGGGTACAACATCAATCTGACGTCATGATGATCTCTTGTGTCTGCTGGGTGTTTAAGGCCATTTGGGTCATCCTCCAGTAAACATCCGTCATCTCCACATTAGCGACCTGCATCTGAACAGTCTCTGGGTCAATGTGTGAAAAGATTTTGCACATCTTCTTGGACACTTTTAACGCTTATAAACAGTTTGCTGCAATTATAAATCGCTCATGTCTTGAGGTAGTTCATTATGATGTGATTTACCTTCTATTGGACAGGAATCACAGGACTGATTTCTCTAATCCCCATAGACAAGACAGAATACAGTAGTGACTGCCGGATGAAGGACAGTGGTGGAGTAACAGTACAAATACTGCACTAAAAATGCACTCAATGGGAAGTAAAAGTGCACATTATCGAAACTACTTAGTAAATTACAACTTCTGAGAAAAACTACTCACTTGCAGTAGTCTGAGTGTTTGTAATTTGTTACTTTACACCACAGAATACACTAAAATAAATGAATAAAAATAAATGTTAAACATATTAAAATGAATGACAATAAATAAAAGCTAAATAACTGATCGATCGCACTGCATATACAAAAGACAGACTCAAATAAATAAATAGATTAAAATATAAATGATATAAAATATAAATATATATTGTTAGTTAATAAAAAATGTATACAACCTAATTAAATACATAAATTACTAATCTACTGTAAGAGATAAACAAAAGACATAATAAAATAAATAAATAAATAAATTCAAATATAAATGTAATTAAAAAAAAAAAAAATATATATATATATATATATATATATAGCCTGTATGTATTTTTTAGTTTATAAAATATATATATAAACATGAATTAACTTTCTAGTGCATGGCATAAACAAAAGACAGATTAAATGTGATAAACAGATTAAAATATAAAGATGTGCAGCTCAGAGAACACAGGTGTGATATTCTGGTTCTGACCTGCGGATCTCTTCAGTGTCGTTGGATCTGGCCGCTTCCAGAAAAGCTTCAGCTGAAAACAGAAGAAAACACATGAACACACTGAGCAGATCACATGAATAAAGCCTGTATTTAATTAAAAACAGTTAATTAGCCACCTTTATCATCGTTGTCCTTCTTAAAGCAGAAGGTGAGCGCGGCAGCCGAGATGAGGCCTGCGCCAGTTGCAGAAGCCGCGGTCTTTCCTGAGCTCTGGTGTCCGCCTCTAGAGCGCCCCGCAGCGGTCAGAGACGCCCAGCTGCTCCGGCGACTCTCTAGATTCGCGCGCCACCTGCTGGCCAGCTGATGGTACTGCGCGTGCGTCTCCTCGATCACACCGCTTCTTTTCAGCACCGGGCTCCGGTTCGGTTCCAGGTTTCTAAACCGGGCGGCTTCTCCGTGACTGGTGTGCAGAGCGCGGCATGGAGACAGACTGCGCGACCGCCGGATGAAGACACGCGCCGGTACCGACGACAGGAACATCGCGACAAACCGACACACACCGGGAAACAGCGGATTCCGTAATCAAATGATACCTGAGGGAGAGTTTAATTCAGCGCGTCCGTGATCCGTGACACCCAGGGATACGTTCACTGACAGCAGGAGCACCGGAGATCCGTACAAGCGTGCGTCCTCTAAAACGAAAACATCCGCGGCGCGCGCGCAGGGCATCATGGGAAATGTAGTTCAACAGCGCAACTACTGCAGACGCTCAGGAGAGGATGAATAATAATAATAATAATAATAATAATAATAATAATAATAATAATAATCTAATTTTCCTTTAGCTTAGTCCAAGATTTATAAGGAGTCGCCGCATAATAATAAGCCTAATAACAAATAAATAAGTAGATAAATATTTGCATTCATAATTATTGCTAATAATAATTCAGATTTGTACATTTAGCTTAGCTATGTAGTCTATAGCGTAAAATATGTTAAATATATTTGTAAGTTAACAACAATTTTTTCTTTCAAATATGTATACATTTCTGTAATAATTATTCAATATTAATAATAAATTAATAATTATTAATAATAATAAGTCAGATTTCTACACACACACACACACACACACACACACACACACACACACACACACACACACACACACATTATATGACGTTAAAATTTGGATTTTTTTGCAAGTGAACAATTGTTTCCTTTTTGTCTTTCTTTTCAAATCCGTTTACATTTTTATTGTGTTCATTATTTGATAACAGTATTAATTAAAATACACTATAATAATAATATTAAATAAAATCTATTGATGATGATGATGATGATGATCATGTAAGTATATGAAGTTATTAGAAGTGTGTTATCTGTGTTTGACCTACAGAGGGCGTCTAGACTCACCAAATATCCGCCAACAGATCAACAACAGCAGATTAATAATATATCACTGTGTTATAAATATTTAATCATGTTATTAGCATTATAATTATAGTATATTGTTGTTTTTGTTATGATTACAGGACAGTTTATATGTATATGTTATGCATTTTAACCGGATTTATAGAGAGCCGCAAGGGAGGTGAACCTTTATGAGAAAAAAGCAAGTATAATAATATTCATAAAAATAATAAAATGTACTGAAACAAATAAACTTTTTGCACAGATCAAAATTCACATTTAAACACACACATCTGCATTGCACATTATTAAGTTGTCTGATATTGCATAATTATTATTTCTGAATATTTGGTATTTTTACATATTACAAACAATAACTAATAATAGACTAATGTGTGTGTGTGTGTGTGTGTGTGTGTGTGTGTGTGTGTGTGTGTGCACGCGCTCTTAATCTGTAGACACTGGAGGAGGAGGAAGAGTGTGAGTCACAGTCTGACACCAGAGCTCCAGTGGGCGACCAAGTGTGTGTGTGTGAGAAAGAGATAGAGTCCGTGTACATGCCTGTGTGTTTATATGCATATTCAATTAATTGAATCGAATATGCATCTCTGTGTTTGTGTGTATGTATGTGTGTGCGTATGACAGTGTATAGGCTATATATATTTATATCTGTGTGTGTACATGTTTGGTGTTTGTATGTACATATATAGGCTCTCTCTATGTGTGTGTGTGTGTGTGTGTGTGTGTGTGTACACACAGGCTACATATATTCATGTGTGTGTATGTGTGTGGGAGAGGTATTCTGAAATGCTGAACATCTTGTTGTCTAATGTGTAAATCTAGCATTTTTAAGGATCGTGGCTTTAAGAATAAAGATTTCAGAGGATAAATAATACATATTTTCCTCAAACTGATCCTACATTCATTCATTTTCTTTTCGGCTTAGTCCTTTTATTAATCAGGGGTCGCCACAGCGGAATGAACCACCAACTTATCCAGCATCTGTTTTACACAGCGGATGCCCTTCCAGCCACAACCCAACACTGGAAAGCACCCACACACACTCACACTCATACACTAGGGCCAATTTAGTTGACCCAGCCGAGGCTCGAACCAGCAACCTTCTTGCTGTGAGATGATTGTGCTACCCACTGCACCACCGTGCTGCCCCTGATCCGTCTTTTAATGATTTTGGTTGTAAATATGCAGTTGAAAATGTTTTATTGAATTAATTTAATTTCTGTTTATATGTAGCCTATAAAGATCCTCTGGCAAAAAAAGAGCATACAGCATATTGTGTGTGTGTGTGTGTGTGTGTGTGTGTGTTCTCTGACCATTGACCATCCAGTGTTGTCTGCCAAAAATTAAATTTTCTTTTTTACGTGAAACTCTTTCAGTTCATGACACAAAAACACATCTTTTGTTCAATATTTCACCTTTTCTTTTCAGCTGTCCTTAAAATCTAAACGTCACCATGTTCATTGTGCTAGCACACACTGTTAGTCTTTAAAGTGAGCAATTAACCTGTACAAGTTAATCCACGAAGAAGTTCTGCTAATCTTTCATCAAACTCTGCTCCTCTGCCTCTGCTCTGGAATGGCAGTCCTTCTCTGATGACGTCAGTTTGTCTGATTGGACAAAAAATGCTTGGCCGTTTAACATTAGTGAAAGATGAGAGGAGGAGCATCAAATTAAACCACGCCCCCTTATCAATATTCAGTATACAATATTTAGTTTTTACTACAATGAACTGTGGTGTATTGTAGTATAATATACCCTATAGCTGTAGAAAATTACAGTGCTGGCTCATTTTTTATATTACTAGAGTTGTGTTACCATAGCGACTGTAGAACGGCCACAACAGACCAATTACTGTAGTTGTTGCGTTACCATAGTGAGTGTAGAACTGCCACAACAGACCATTTACCGTAGTTGTTGCGTTACCATAGTGACTGTAGAACCGCCACAACAGACCGTTTACCATAGTTGATGCGTTACCATAGCGACTGTAGAACAGCCACAACAGATCATTTACCGTAGTTGTTACGTTACCATAGCGACTGTGAAACCGCCACAACAGATCATTTACCGTAGTTGTTACGTTACCATAGCGACTGTGAAACCGCCACAACAGATCATTTACCGTAGTTGTTGCGTTACCATAGCGACTGTAAAACCGCCACAACAGATCGTTTACCGTAGTTGTTGCGTTACCATAGTGTCTGTAGAACCACCACAACAGATTGTTTACCGTAGTTAATGCGTTACCATAGCAACTGTGCAATCGCCACAAGACCAATTACCGTAGTTGATGCATTACCATAGTGACTGTAGAACTTTCACAACAGATCATTTACCGTAGTTGATGCATTACCATAGCGACTGTACAATCGCCACAACAGACCAATTACCGTAGTTGATGCGTTACCATAGGGACTGTAGAACCGCCACAACAGACCGTTTACCAGTTGATGCGTTACCATAGTGACTATAAAACTGCCAGAACAGTTCATTTACCGTAGCTGTTACGTTACCATAGTGACTGTAAAACCGCCACAACAGATAATTTATCGTAGTTGTTACATTACCATAGCTACTGTAGAACTGCCGCAACACACCAATTAACGTAGTTGTTGCGTTACCATGTCGATTGTAGAACCACCACAACAGATTAATTACCGTAGTTGTTGCGTTACCATAGCGACAGTAAAACCGCCACAACAGGTCAATTACTGTAGTTGATTCGTTACCATAGTGGCTGTAGAACCACCACAACAGATGATGAGCTACGGTACACTGAATCTACTAAATCTACACACACACACTGAATCTAATTGTTCAGATTGGTGTAAAGCTGTAGTTTCTGTGTGTGCTGTAATGAACAGAAGACAGGAGGCGGAGCTCCAAAAACACAGGCAGTAATTGGTTTAATTCTTCATCTCTACATTCATCATCATCATCATTCTCTGAACTCCAGCCATGCAGCAGCGCCCCGAGTGTGTGTGTGTGTGTGTGGAGTCAAACCACATGCAGGTGTGAGTGTATGTGTGTGTTTGAGTCTGTGTAAGTGTCTGTGTGTGTGAGTGAGAGAGAAAAAGAGAGAGAGTGTGTGTGTGCATGTTCAGTGTGTCAGTTGGCATTGTTATAAGTGTGTGTGGGTTTATGTGTTTGTCTATATGTATGTGTGTTTGTGTGTGTGTGTGCTTGTGTGGTTGGGTGGGGGGGTTATGAGTTTGTCTATTTGTTTGTATGTGTGTGTGTGTGTGTGTGTGTGTGTGTGTGTGTGTGTCAGTTGTTAGCGTTGTCCTCGTCACTGTGTTCAGCGCGCTCGTCTCTGCTCTCGCTCAGCGCGCTCTCGTCGATGTTCTCCAGTGACTCTGCGTGCTGGATGGAGAGTTCAGACATGGGGATGCTGGACAGCGGGTTCTGCTCCGGGAACAACCACGGCTTAAAGCCCGGACTGTGCTTCTGCTTCCACTCGGGATACCGCGCACACGCTTTACTGATGCGCTTCATCGCCTGAGAAACATATAAATATTAAAATATGATCAGATCTAAAACATACATTAAAACATAGAGAAAACATAAAAATGTGTCATTTAATTTACATTTATTTGGTCATTTTACACACACACACACACACACACACACACACACACAGACACACACACACACGAAACAATATAGTACATTTAAATCAAATACGAAATATCTAAAATGCTTAATTTGATTGAATTGATTTTAGTGATGTTTCAGTTTAATATAGTTCATAACGATCATCACAGTTTCAGAGGAGTCATCGACCAAACAAATGATTCATCTGAGTCAGTTAAATGAATGAATCAATGACTCACTTATATAAATACCAAGCAGCAACCTCCCACTCTCCTGCGTGAACTGAATATGGAAATATCTGAAACTGCAACTCATAAAGATTCCGCTAGTCCTGACTCCGTGATAGAGCAGATTTCTATTGACACCACTCAGGCCCGTGCAGAGACTGTCCAAAGGGCATGTGCGGGATAATTTTTTTGAAGAGCGGGGCGGGGGTGGGTGGTTGGAGGGGGTTGAGGTTGGGGGGGTTGAATGATGTTGTCGCGCGCGTACTGAAGAGCGGTGTTGTCGCGCAAGTTTTGATCAGCGGTGTTGTCGCGCAAGTTTTGATCAGCGGTGTTGTCGCGCAAGTTTTGATCAGCGGTGTTGTTGCGCACGCTTTGATCAGCGGTGTTGTCGCGCACGTTTTGATCAGCGGTGTTGTTGCGCACGTTTTGATCAGCGGTGTTGTCGCGCACATTTTGATCAGCGGTGTTGTTGCGCACGTTTTGATCAGCGGTGTTGTCGCGCACGTTTTGATCAGCGATGTTGTCGCGCACGTTTTGATCAGCGGTGTTGTCGCGCACGTTTTGATCAGCGGTGTTGTCGCGCACGTTTTGATCAGCGGTGTTGTCGCGCACGTTTTGATCAGCGGTGTTGTCGCGCACGTTTTGATCAGCGGTGTTGTCGCGCACGTTTTGATAAGCGATGTTGTCGCGCACGTTTTGATCAGCGGTGTTGTCGCGCACGTTTTGATCAGCGGTGTTGTCGCGCACGTTTTGATCAGCGGTGTTGTCGCGCACGTTTTGATCAGCGGTGTTGTCGCGCACGTTTTGATCAGCGGTGTTGTCGCGCACGTTTTGATCAGCGGTGTTGTCGCGCACGTTTTGATCAGCGGTGTTGTCGCGCACGTTTTGATCAGCGGTGTTGTCGCGCACGTTTTGATCAGCGGTGTTGTCGCGCACGTTTTGATCAGCGGTGTTGTCGCGCACGTACTGTAAAGCCCGGTGGGGGGGGGTGCGTACTCAAGAGCGGTGTTGTCGCGTGCCTACTGAAGGGCGGTAGGGGGAGGGGGGTGTCGCAGGGGCACTTTTGATCATTTTGGAAGGAAACTTTCTATCCAAGACTAAAAAGGGCATGTGCACTGCACAGGTTGAGCACTGTGTGTGCACGTGCCTGCACCACTGTTAAAATGGCCTGTTAAACTGTTAAAAGCTGTGTACAGCCTGATACAAAGAACAATGTTAGTTCATATAGCTAATATTATCCTTCATGACTGTGAGGGGGTGAATTTTTTTATAACTCGTCCATTTCCTTTATATTAGGTTACATTAACTCTGCATAATTAAGGGCGTGGCCACTTGAGTGACAGCTAGGCAGGCCCGGATTAAGAATTGAGCACTTTGGCTGCGTCTGAAACCACATACTTCCATACTATACAGTACGCTAGAATCAGTATGTGAGCCGAGTTGTACGTCTGAATTCATAGAATTTGAAAATCGGTATAAGAGAAGGACCCAGATGACCTACTACTTCCGAGATTCTGAAGTGCGCATCCCATGCTCATGATGCCCCGCGAGAGAATTCATGAATAAGAGTTAATCGATGCAACTGATGACCATGACAAAATGGCGGGTGTAGTACGTCCGAATTCCATTCATACTTCTTACATTCATACCGTATAGAACTTAGGCTGCGTCTGAAACCGCATACTTCCATACTATATAGTACGCTAAAATCAGTATGCGAGCCGAGTAGTATGACCGAATTCATACAATTCGAAAATCAGTAGGCGAGAAGTACCCGGATGACTTACTACTTTAGCTGAGATTCTAGAGTGCGCATCCCATGCACGCTGAGCTATCCCATGATGCCCCGCGAGAGAATTTATGAATGGGAGTAATGTGACACAATTGACACAGGTAGGTCACGTGACCATAACAAAATGGCGGATGTAGTAGGTCCGAATTCCATTTATACTTTTCACGTTCATACTGTATAGAACGCACTTTTCCAACGGCCGAGTAGAACGTTTAAATTCAAATGCAGAACCTACTGAATAGTAGGCGGTTTCGGACGCAGCCTTACTTTTCTAACGGCTGAGTAGTACATTTACATTTACATTTACATTTAGTCATTTAGCAGACGCTTTTATCCAAAGCGACTTACATTTACATTCAAATGCAGTACCTACTAAATAGCAGGCAGTTTCAGACGCAGCCATTGTCTTGTAGGGCTCCTTACCCGGCTGCACCCCAATAGTTAAATAAAAAATAAATAAAATAAATAAGAATAAGAATAATATAATATTTCTAATAAAATCATCTTTAATGTATTGCTTGCATTTTAAAAATAAATGATATACAGAACTTATATTTATAGTCTACGCAGATTTAACTTATTTTTAAAGCATTTAAAGCACACTTTGATTAAAAATACTAATAAAATGTGAAAACTAATTGATTTTAGTGTACTTCTTTAAGTTCACTGAAGCAGCACTTAATATATATATTGTAACTACAAATTAGCTATATTAAGATGTCGCTAAGATTTATTTAAATTAACTATTTAGATGCGGGCGACATGGTGGCGCAGTGGGTAGTGCTGTCGCCTCACAGCAAGAAGGTTGCTGGTTCGAGTCCCGGCTGGGTCAGTTGGTGTTTCTGTGTAGAGTTTGCATGTTCTCTCCGTGTTGGTGTGGGTTTCCTCTGGGTGCTCCGGTTTCCCCCACAGTCCAAACACATGCGCTATAGGGGAACTGATCAACTACACTGGCCATAGTGTATGAGTGTGTGTGTGAGTGTGTATGTGAGTGTGTGTGTTTCCAGTACTGGTATGCAGCTGGAAGGGCATCTGCTGCATAAACATGCTAGATAAGTTGGTGGTTCATTCCACTGTGGTGACCCCGGATTAATAAAGGCACTAAGCCGAAAAGAAAACGAATGAACTATTTAGATGCTGTTTATACACATGTGAAATAAGCTAAACCTCATTAAATACCGTCGAGCCACTTGTGACTTTTTATCACATTTTCATTTTTAAACAAAAATATTTCCCTTCTTAAAAAATAAATGCATTTCCAATCTGAAAATAAGAAAATGAGTTTATCAGATGCTGGAGTCAAACCGGGGTGATGATCGATCGTGTCAAACATGATGCCATGTGCTTTATCCGCTTGTTAAGTGTGACGTCACGCGAAGCGGCTTCCAGGTCCAAGCGCTCTATTCAACTGAATGGGGAGACTCATGAAATGGTAACAATAACGTTTACAAAGCCATTTAATACTTTCGAAAGTCACGATGGCAGTATATATGTCCATGCCTAATATCCGATGGCCAGAAAGTGATTCATTTTTTTATAAATTGTTAGATTTTTGGTATTTGTTATGCAGCAAGCCCAGAGATTGTTGTGTACACTATGACTTTATATACAATTAACTTTAATGTGTGATAGGAATAAAACGTGATCATAAACGAATGATTTCTCCACTCAAATGAATGGACCCGGAAACAGTATGCATACGTCACAAACACGTCACCACGTAACAAGCGAATGAGCTACGCCACTCACAGTGCTGTCAGGCGCGCTCTATAGTTGTGTTGTCTTTGTTGATCAAACAGTGTCGATCAATTAGCTTATTCCAACAAGATGCGCTATTCGTACTTATTAGCCTAAATAGACACTCCAAAATCAACATTCCCCCCCCCCCTAACATGGGCCAAGTGCGCACGAGTCCCTGAGCCTGTGACTATAATGCAGGTTAATCCGGCCCTGCAGCTAGGTCTCGCTGGTCGCCGACACTTCACCTCAGCTGATTCCGGCTGATAAGCTGCTGAGCTCAGCGTATAGATTATATATCTGTGTTGTAGTATGTGGCTTTACACAGTCAGATTTGGATTTATTTCCTACAATTATCAGATTTTATAGCATGCTGTGTGCACTTGTTAAACCATTCACGTGGACTTCATTTCCCAGCTGAGTGGAATGATTTACTTAAACACCATCTCTATAAATGTATTTGTTTAATTTAAGATCATTTATCATCTATAATGTTCTTTAGAGCTGTAATGCACTGCAGAATCTGACAGATTGATGAGCTGTAGGCTCTAGAACAGTCATTTGATTTGCGTCATCATACAGTATTATTCCTAGATTTCATCAATAACCTTGCATTTACTAACACAGACCGTGTTTAGTTACTCAGTGTGTTACAGCAGTGTTTTTAAAAGACTAAACACTTTATAGATATAGTATTTGATCAAGCACGTTATAATGTTCTTTAGAGCTGTAATGCACTGCAGAATCTGACAGATTGATGAGCTGTAGGCTCTAGATCAGTCATCAGTCATTCACCCATAGGAAAGCCTAAGTAGAATGCCAGCATGTGTCTGTAGCTCCGCCTCTTTGCCCTTATTTGGTTTCCCCCGATCGGTGTGATGACGAGCAAACAAAATGGCAACGGTTAGCCACGCCCACTTGTAGCTTCTTTCACGTTCTCCAGAAACCTATGGGTGACATCACGGATACCACGTCCATATCTTTTACAGTCTATGATGAATAGAGACAGTCGCCACCTACTGGCAGTTTCGCTCTTTAAGGATTATCTCATCATTTCACTTTAAAATGTTCATCTTTCTCTAAACGCCACTACTTTTCGCTTCTGTCTTTGGAAACAAGCAGTCCTACACTATATCTAATAACGGTAATTGAGTTTATTTATTAGACTGAAGAATGCGATGTAAAAGACGACGCTTCTGATGAGCTCAGGAGACGGTCTGAACCCTCAGGAGCACACTCGACCATGAGAGATCACTGCTGTACACTGAGAAGATGAGGAGGATCTGAGAGTCAGCTGACACACCGGGACTAAACCAGCACACACACATGCACACATACACACACACAAGCACGCACACACACGCGCGCACACACGCACGCACGCGCACACACACGCACACACACACGCATACATACACACACGCACGCACGCACGCACAAACAAAACATGATCCAATTATTCATTATGGACATAATCCCAGAAAACATGGAGATATGATGCGTCAGTAATACAGTCACACACACACACACACACACACATCTAACAAACACACGCACATACAGACAGAAACACACACAACTACTCTAATTCAATCACATGCACGCGCACACACACACACACACACACACACACACACACAGATAAGAGAGAAAGAAACCCACACACACCTACTCACTTTATGATTCAATCACGCACACACACACAGAGACAAATACACACACACTCACACAATTCTACTGATGCTCTAATTAAATCACATACACGCACACACACACACACACACACACCACTCTGTCTCACCTTCTGATTCTCTAATTCAATCACACACACACACTGAGCTCTTTGTTGACCTGCTGCAGTGTGTGTGTGTGTGTGTGTGTGTGTGTGTGTGTGTGTGTGTGTGTGTGTGTGTGTGTGTGTTTGTCTCTGTGTGTGTGTTTGTGTGTGTGTGTGTGCGTGTTTGAATCGTAAAGTGACTAGGTGTGTGGGGGTTTCTTTCTCTCTATCTGTCTGTGTGTGTGTGTGTGAGTGTGTGTGTGTGTGTGTGTGTGTGTGTGCGTGTTTCAGGATTTCAGACTCTCTTTATAGAAATCATCAATCAATCACTCGACCATTCACTTAGTGTTTCCTGGAAATCCATGACCTACTTCAACACATACACACACACACACACACACACACACACACACACACACACACACACACACACACACACACACACGCACGCACGCACACACACACACACACACACACAATAAATCATGCATACACAAGCTATACTCATGCACTCACATACACACACTAGAACACACACGTAATACACTCACACATTCAAACGCACACCAACTAACACACACATGCATGCTCATGCACATGTTATACTTACACACACACACACACACACACACACACACACACACACACACACACACACACACACACACACACACACACACACACACACACACACACACACACACACACACACACACACACACACAGATTTAAACATGCACACAAACTGTAACACACAAGTACAAATGTTATACACACACACACACACACGCACACAAAAATAAACACGCAAACTCTCCAACATACACACACACATAATCGAACACATAAACACGGTAACACACAGAGATTATACTCACACACACAACATCAAACACACACAAACTCTTCAACACACACAGATTCGAACACAGACTTACACACAATCTCTCCAACACACACACACACACACACACACACACACACACACACACACACACACACACACACACACACACACACACACACACACACACACACACTTGTACTCACTTTGGGAGCCAGTAACTGGGAAGACTTGTTAACGACCCACTTAGGAAGAGAACCTGAGAGAGACACACAGCGAGATTTAGATTCACACTCGACACACCTCTGTGTGTGTGTGTGTGTGTGTGTGTGTGTGTGTACATTTACATAGGTGTGTGTGTGGGGGGAGTGTTTGTGTAGGTCTGTGCATGTGTGAGTATGTGTGTGTCTGTCTATGTGTGTGTGTTTGTGTGTGTTTGTGTACGAGTGTGTTAGTCCATGTGTGTGTCTGTGTGTTTTTGAGTGAGTGTCTATGTTTGAGTGTATGTGTGGGAGTGTATATTATTTATGTGTGTGTGTGACTGTCTCTGTATAAGTGTGGATGAAAGTGTGTGTATGTGTGTGAGTGTGTATTATTTATATGTGCATGCATGTGTGTCCATGCTTTTGTGTGTTGATGTGTATATCCATGTGTAAGTGTGTTTGTACAGTATGTGTGTGTGTCTGTATATATATATATATATAATTTGTGTGTGTGTGTGTGTGTGTGTGTACCTTTTGGGTCCACCTGTGCCAGGTATGTGAGTGTGCAGCTGGAGGGGCCGGTGCGCTGGATCAGGTATCCGGTCTGGATGGAAACGGCTCGAACCAGATCCTTCTTAGGAGGATATTTCTGAAACACACACACACAAACACACACGCACACGCGCGCACAAAATTAGTCATCAATCAGAAAACTCAATAAATCATCAATCAGTCCACATGCAGATCAAACTGAACTGAACTTCTGAAACACACACACACATACACACACACACACACGCACGCACGCACGCACGCACGCACGCACGCACGCACACACACACACACACACACACACACACACACACACACACACACAACATCAGCCAATCAGATTCACTACAGTGTCACCACGGTTACAGAAGCACTATGAGCTCTCTGTGTATGTGTGTTTTCCATTGATTGTGTCAGTGTGTGTGTGTGTGTGTGTGTGTGTGTTTTCCATTGATTGTGTCATTGTGTGTGTGTTTGAGAGAGACAATGAGGCAAGCAGGAGATAAAACATGTCGTTCACTCTCTCTCTCTCACTCTGATGACAGACAGATCAATGCAGTGAGCAGCAGCAGACCAGTGTGATCATGTGACTTCGACGCACACACACACACACACACACACACACACACACACACACGAACACAACATTATACCATTAGTAAAGATCATAAGACCATTAGCAGCTGAGTTATTTATCCTGAGTCAGCTTCACCTGAACACACACACACACACACACACACACACACACACACACACACACACACACACACACACTACAAAAACCTACACACCTACACACTAAAACAAACACATACATACATACATACATTAAAACATACACACATATATACACACACACACAAAACAAACACACACACAAGCTATACTCTCACGCACATACACACACACACAGCGACACACGCGTGCACGCAAATACTATACTTACCCACATTTAAATACACACAAACTATCTAACACACACACACACACACACACACACAAACACAAACAAACACTAAAACAAACAAACACTAAAACAAACACACACAGACTAAAACAAACAAACAAACAAACAAACAAACAAACACTAAAACAAACACACACATTAAAACAAACAAACACTAAAACAAACACACACACACACTAAAACAAACAAACACTAAAACAAACACACACACTAAAACAAACAAACAAACACTAAAACAAACACACACGCTAAAACAAACAAACACTAAAACAAACACACACACTAAAACAAAAACACTAAAACAAACACACACACACTAAAACAAACACACACTAAAACAAACACAAACACACACACACACACACACACAAACTAAAACAAACACTAAAACAAACACACACACACACACACACACTAAAACAAACACACACACACACAAACTAAAACAAACACACACTAAAACAAACACACACACACACTAAAACAAACACACACTAAAACAAACACTAAAACAAACACACACACACACACACACACACACACACTAAAACAAACACACACACACACACACTAAAACACACACACACACACACTAAAACACACACACACTAAAACAAACACACACACACACACACACACACACTAAAACAAACACACACACACACACTAAAACACACACACACACACACACACTAAAACACACACACAATAAAACAAACAGACACTAAAACAAACACACACACACACACTAAAACAAACACACACACACACACACACACTAAAACAAACAAACACTAAAACAAACACACACACACACACACACACTAAAACAAACACACACACACACACACTAAAACAAACACACACACACAAACACACTAAAACACACACACACTAAAACAAACACACACACACACACTAAAACAAACACACACACACATACACTAAAACAGACACTAAAACACTAAAACAAACAGACACTAAAACAAACACACACACACACACACACACACACACTGAATGGTAGCTGCTGAATTTTGAGCTAAATATAAAGTTTTTCGTTTATATCAGTGAATAGTCTGTTCATCAGCGTCTGACTGTGTTCACATGTGAGCTCCAGCAGTAATGGGCTGTACACTGAAGTGTTGAGCAGTGAATCCCGCAGTAAACACTCACTGAGTGCTTGACGGAGTAGTTCATGATGATGTAATCGTTCCCCATTGGCAGCCACGAGCGCAGGGTGATGACATCACGGTTCTTCAGCGGCTTTGGACACTTCCCTGAAAAACCACAACAACTGAGCATGAGCGACACTCGGGGACATTACAGGACAACTCATGTGCGTATTAATAATCACTGCCGTCAAACTAATAATAGTGATTAACTGCATTCAAGACAAAAGTTCTGTATTATCACTGAAACAGGGAACACTGCTCATTCAGGGTGTTTTTGAGAGTGTTAACACTAGCTGTATGTAGGCTGTGGTGTGCGGGTCTTACACGAGTAATATCCAACATCTGCATTGACCGTCAGTTTGCCGATGTCAAACGTTTCGATGACATTCGCGTCCCATTTCCGCCGATATTCGATGTCGTGGAGCACATCATACATAGTCTCTGCTGGAATGTCCTTACATGTCATCCGACACTGAGGAGAGAACAGAACAACTACATTACCCACAATGCAACACTATAGAATCACACACACACACAGCATTAAGGAGTACACTTTGAAAATGTGATCATAAATATGGCGACACGGTGTCCTCACAGCATCAAGGTCGCTGGTTTGAGTCTCAGCTGGGTCAGTTGGTGTTTCTGTGTGGAGTTTGCATGTTCTCCCTGTGTTGGCGTGGGTTTTCTCCGGTTGCTCCGGTTTCCCCCGGCGATACACTTCTGAACTGTGTGTGGGTGAGCTGTGCACATGGTGATATCCATGCTGAAGCCCTATATTGTGTACTCGACACACATTAGAGAAGCATTGGTGAGCCCAGAACAGCAGCGTTTGTGCGTCTGATGACTTACATCAGGTGAAAAGAGGCTGCAGACTCGATCAATCTGACTTCTGAAATAATAAACCAGGCCATTAAAGTAGATCCCGGCCCAGAAGCACCTGCGTTTTCTAGAGCAACGACTGAGGAACCAAACGCTGGCCTATTATTGTCTCTACGCTGATTTTGGGGACAGAAGTGAAGCTGGAAGCAAATACATGCAAATATTAGATGGATAAACAATTAGCTGCCATAGAAACGCTTCTATTTTTGCTGGTTGCCATGGAAACATTTACATTTATGTTTTTTTTTTATTTTTAAAACATGTAAATAATAAAAATTTCAATAGAAAACATAAAATAAAATAATGTAAATATGTGAAATGTTCATTCGGTCATTTTATTTTCAGATTAGTGCCTTTATTAATCAGTGGTTGCCAGAGAGGAATGAACCGCCAACTTATCCAGCATATGTTTTACATGGAGAATCTGCAACCCACCTCTGGGAAACATACACACTCATTCACACACACACACACACACACACACACACACACACACACACTACGGCCAGTGTAGTTGATCAGTTCCCCTATAGCGCATGTGTTTGGACTGTGGGGGAAACCGGAGCACCCGGAGGAAACCCACACCAACACGGGGAGAACATGCAAACTCCACACAGAAACACCAACTGACCCAGCCGAGACTCAAACCAGCAACCTTCTTGCTGTGAGGTGAACGTGCTACCCACTGCGTTGAGTTGGCAAATATATTGAGTGGATGTGTTAGTAAATCTGATTTTAAAAGAGCCTCACCAGTCACAAACCTCACGGCACGTCACGCAGCACATCACAGAGGGGCGAACACTGACATTTAGCCTACAATCCTGCACAATCTCTCTCTTTTAGTAGCGCCCACTTTTAACATGAGATTTTGAAAAGCAGATCTATATTTAGCGAGAACGGTCGGGTAGAAAATGGGGCGGGTCAGGCTGCGGGTGAACAAAGACTGAATATACCGCGGGAGCAATCGGCTACGGTATAAAACCTAGCAGGAATAGGATTAAACGTTCAGTCCTGCACAGATCTCTAGTCTAAACTACGGGAGACTCCCGAGAAAAACAGGAGTGTTGGCAGGTACTCTGTTAAACTAGTTAGGTTAAAAATACCCCAACTTATAACCCAACTATAGGTTAATATAGCACCTTCACAACTATGGGTTATTTTATCCCAAAGCATTGGGTATTATTTTGATTAAATGTCATTTTTTCCATTGTTTTAATTTTATAATTATGGCTGTGTAAATAAATAAATGTCTCCGTTGTGTCCTAAAGTATGACGGCTGGATATTCCAAATATGACCAGTTAAAACCAGCTACAACTAGCTTGACCATCCTGGTTTAAGCTGGACATGGTTTTGGCTGGGCTTCCAGTCTGGCTAGGCTGGTCAAGCTGGTTTTAGCTGGTCATCTCCCAGCCTGACCAGCTAAGACCAGACTGGAAATGGCTGGAAGCCAGCCTGGAAGTAGCCAAAACCCCTCTTAAACCAGCCTGGTTGACCAGCCAAGGCTGGTTTAAACTGTTTTTCAGTAGGGACAGGAGTGTTGGCAGGTACTCTGTTAAAATAGTTGGGTTAAAAATATCCCAACATATAACCCAACTATAGGTTAATATAGCACCTTCACAACTATGGGTTATTTTAACTCAATGCATTGGGTATTATTTTGATTAAATGTTATGTTTTCCATTGTTTTAATTTTATAATTATGGCTGGGTAAATAAATAAATGTCTCCGCTGTGTCCTAAAGGTCAGAATGACGGCCGAATATCCCAAATATGTGCATCATTTCCTTAAAAAAAAAGAAAAAAGAAAAACGGTAGAGATGAACACGTGCGGTAGAGTAAGCGTTTCATCCATTTAATGTAGATGGGTTATGAGGCGTGCGTGTGTATCATCAATAACTAAGAGTGCTGGTGAAACACATATAAAACACAACATGGAGAGGTCATTTGATTAAAAAACTATATTATTGTGCTAGAGCTTAACTCTATAATCCAAAAACACAACCCTGCTGAAAAATCCAGCTTAAACCAGCCTAAGCTGGTTGGCTGGTTTTAGCTAGTCAACCAGGCTGGTTTTAGAGGGGTTTTGGCCACTTCCAGGCTGGTTTCCAGCCATTTCCAGCCTGGTCTTAGCTGGTCAGGCTGGGAGATGACCAGCTAAAACCAGCTTGACCAGCCTAGCCAGGGTGGTCAAGCTGGTTTTAGCTGGATTTAGCTGGTCATTTTCCAGCCTGACCAGCTAAGACCAGGCTGGAAATGGCTGGAAACCAGCCTGGAAGTGGGTCGCTGGGTGGTTTCTGTGTGGAGTTTGCATGTTCTCCCTGTGTTCGCGTGAGTTTCCTCCGGGTGCTCCGGTTTCCCCCACAGTCCAAACACATGCTGTACAGGTGAATTGGGTAGGCTAAATTGTCCTTAGTGTATGAGTGTGTGTGTGTGTGTGTGTGTGTGTGTGTGTGTGTGTGTGTGTGTGTGCGTGTGTGTGTGTGCGTGTGTGTGTGTGTGTGTGTGTGTGTGTGAATGTTTCCCAGAGATGGGTTGCGGCTGGAGGGGCATCCGCTGCGTAAAAACATGCTGGATAAGTTGGCGGTTCATTCCACTGTGGCGACCCCCCCTTAATAAAGGGACTAAGCCGACAAGAAAATGAATGAAATAACCCAACAAAGCATCAAATATTTAACCCAACTGGTTGAGTTATTAATAAACACCCTAATAAAGATTTAAAATAACCCAACACAGCACCAAACATGTTCAACTCAACCAATGGGTTGAATGAATAACTCAAGGCTTTTTAGTGTTCATGCTCACACATACACTCTGCCTCTTCTCTAAATCTCACGCTGAACGCTGTCGACCAATCGCAACAGGCTGTCATCGGTCCAATCAGCGCAGATTAGCTTCGTGATAAGGAGGGGTTTGGGAACTAATGAATCGCTGAAGGACTCATATGGGGGTCACTGGGATAATTAGGTAAAATAAATGCAGATTATAAGACCAAGAGAGTGTTTTTTGACCTTGCATGCAGATCAGCCTGTTGTTGGAGACCCCCACAACCAAAATATGATCCTTATAATGTATAATAGAGGCTCTTTGGTTTATTTAATTAGCTTATTTATGAAGCTAATGCATGAAAAGTAATGACTCTGAATAATTGTTTAGGTAGTGTTGTGATGCATATTAAAGTGTGCGCCCTAAAAGCACAAGTCACCCCTGCCTGGCCCCCCCAGTTACTCTGGTCTAGAACCACCATTGATGAACGGCTCCTTTAAAAGCATTGAATATTTAATATTAATAAATAAATGATGCTCTGATAGCACTGAAGCATGGTAAACATGGTGATTTGAGGGCCTGAGCTGAAGGACAGAAACGCTGGGGTGGGATTTTCCTGCAGCATAACGTCATGAGTGGGAGGACAGATGCAGTGTGTGTGTGTGTGTGTGTTTCAGGGGAACCCCAGCAGCTCTGAGGAGACTCTGACATCTCCTCCCGCCTACACAGAGCTGTGCCGCACTGTCATACGTGTGTGTGTGTGTGTGTGTGTGTGTGCTCTGGTTTCTAATGCATTATTGGATGCCTGCAGTCATTGTGTTTCTTCACTGGCATCTATTATTTCAATAACACACACACACACACACACACACACACAGTCCTCCAACTGTGTGGCCTTTCTCTGATCTGTGTGTGTGTGTGTGTGTGTGTGTGTGTGTGTGTGTGTGTGTGTGTGTGTGTGTGTGTGTGTATTTCACCTGCTAATGAGGAGAAAAACACTGAAGCTTATTTCCGACACTGAAAAAGAGCATCACAGCTTCACATCTCGCCACCACAGCCTGCTCAGATATCAACTGCAGACTGTGAAAGAGTCACAGTGTAAAGTGTTCTGGAGTCAACACACTCGAGACAGAGCAGAATAAAGGCCAGAAGGGTGTAAAAAACCCGCTTTAGTGTTTTATTTGTATTGTAGTGGACACTATAAACAGAACTACACAACTAAATGATCTTCTCTAATCTTGTATCTGTGTGAATATTAATGAGGCTGCACCGCGTACACAATAGAGCGCGCTGATTGGTTTGAACCAAGTCTTACTCATGAATGAATGCAACACACTCTGAGACGTAATAACAGACGTCCAGTCTGCACGCTGGAATACACGCTATTATCTCATGACCGTGACGCAGCTTTAAAAATTAGTTTCAAACCGGAAGAACGAATTTGCTGGAAATAACGCAAAAACAACCAATTTACTCTTGTTAGTGAGATATATATGTGTCCTAGTGGTGTTTATAGCAGTGTGGGACACACATATATGACTGTCAACAGCTCAACACATGTGTTCTGGTGTTTCGTGACCAATGACTGTAAAAAATATGGACGACGCGACAGCCCTTTTTCCCATTGAACGCCTTGAGGGCAAAACGCCTGCTTGACGGGCACAAACTGTCGCAAAAGACTGCTGAAATTGGAGCCTTGACATGCGCAGAAGGACTGTCTGATGGAGCCAGAGGAGGAGCCGCGAAAATGAGCAGAGTCGAGCTTCCAACCAAACGCTTTATGTAAAATCAACCACGCCCCCCGAACTGCTCAGCATGCGTTTGCTGTCA